AAATTAGTCTTGGCTGTGGCTTCCTTTTCTCTTTTTCTTCTCTACACAAGAGTATAGAACTGGTTTCTGGTATAATTTTTTCCTAAGGGAAAGATTTTGGTAGAGAAATATGTTACTTTTTTATCCTTTCTTTTCCTCATTTGATTTCTATTCCTTTTATGCATAGACATACCTCATGGTTTCTGGCATCTTTTTTCCCAATGGGTAGTATGTGTTCCCGAAATTTGTAACTTTTATTTGTCTATTCCATTTTTCTTTTTTATTACTTTGAAAAAAAATCCACTACTTTTGAAGTGCCTTTTCCTTTTATTGTCTTCAGATGTTTGTAATCTACTGCTCTCTGTGTTATGTGTTTTGAGGTTTTTTTGTTGTTTTTTTTTTTTTGTATTAGTACCCCTGCTATTACAGGTTGAACGTATGAGTTTGTTTGTATACATGCATGGTTTTAGGTGCTTATTTTGCACTGACAAGATTGAAAGGTACAAACCTGGTAGCTGATAATGCTGGGCTACTGCATAAATATCCTTTGCATGTATTATTTGTGCCTGAAAGAGATTTACAAGCATGCTTACCTTAAACAATAAATAACTTCAGTGTTGCAACATTTAAAAATAAGAAGTTAAAGATTTTAAGTTCACTGGGGATACATATGTATAATTTAACACTGTTCAGTAAGAGATGTAAATTTTGAGCTTAGATGTGTGGGAAACGTGAATTTCTGTCATTATATAGTCACAGGCATGTCTATAAAGCTATGCCAAATGATAATATTTGCATAAATATTTATATAAATATGCTATACTTGCATAGCATTTGTAGGGGTTTTTACATCTAACTTAATTTACCATTTCATAATGAGACTGAGTTGAACCAACAGCTAAGTGCTTACAAAATGGAAAATATCATTGCTCTTCTTTGAGTTCCTCAAGCTGGGGTTTAGTGATGCAAAGACTATGGTATTGCCTTTTACATGGAAATCAATATGCATATGAAGTGAATATGGTATCTTTTAAGATTCAACATAGCATATATGTTTCTAAAGGAGATGCTGTTCCATGAAAAAATAGGGGAAAAATTGATAATAGGGTGTTTTCTGATAGTTGGAAGGATTTTTCCTATATTTTTACTAAGAAATGCTGGGATACACACTCTATGATTAGCATAGGTCTGGCTTTGTCTATTGCTCTGTATTTTTATGCAGTCCAGAATAGTACAACGACTTAAAAACATGTGTGTTTCATTTTGTTGTTGGTTTGTTTTTGGTTTTGTTTGTTGGTTTTTGTTTTTTTTTTTAATAGTGAGCATGTAGCTCTTCATTTAAATATGGTAGGAGCTAGCAGGTGAATTAGAGAATTTTAATCTAGATTTCTAGTTTCTTTTTTACATTATTTAGAACTAAACCCATATTAATGGAATAACCTTGTAAAATGAAAGGTGGGCTTTCATAGGGTGGAAGGACTGTTACAGAAGAAGGAAAGAAACATAATACTTAATGTTTCTTTGTATGGGGACATGCATGTGGAATTGAAGCTCGTGGCAATTGTCGGTGTATTCCCTTAAGCACAGTATTTTGCCTGTGATTTTTGAAAGGATCAATCACTTGCAGCAATTTATGTAATAACTTTCTGGTGGGCAATTCTACTATTTTATTTACGCTTTTTGCCTGGTTCACCAGAATGCAATACCTTTGCTTCTTGGTACAGTAAATGCACTCTGTAATATGTATTATGGTATGGTCAGAGGATAATTTATTGTCAGATAGAAAAATAGGTCAACACTAATGTCACTTGATGATCAACCCCCCAAGTTTAATAAAACACCTCACCAGCACGCGTTCTGCACAGTGCTTGGTGTTTTATTAGGACTTCGGTACCTTACAGTACCTAGCTATAGTGGGAGTGTAATTACTGAGCTGTCAGGGTGATAAGTGGGATTAATGGCAGCCTGGTGCACTTTAGTCTGCAGAGTGCTCAGAGAATCGGAAGATGGTATTATAAGAGAAAGTCTGGACTGGCATATTCATGGCACCCTCCCCTCCTCCCCAAAGCTCACATTCAAGTTTGCATTATCTGCCCCCCCCCCCATTGATGAAATTTTCAACAGCTGTTATTTGTGAACCAGCTCAAAAATCAAAAGAGAAGTAATTTAGTAAGGATGTTTGCTAGCCACAATGCGTACACTGCTTATCCTGCTAGGTGCCATTCTAGTCAGTTTTGACATGAGATTGTTCTATATATAATCGACAGAAAGGTTTTTTATGTTAAGTACAATTCTTTTTGGTCTTGGATACAGGACTGTTGTATTTCAAAGGAAACCACATTCAGGGAAGTGAAGAGCAAAAAGTCAGAATGGAATTGTTGCCTTTTTTAAATGCGTGATTTTCCACTTCTGTTATTTCCTTCCTGCCTACACAGGCAAAATGATCATCTGAGCCCTCATAGTGGTGTATTTTGTCTAGCATACCTCCTTTTTTTCTGGCTTCTAGTACTAAAACTTTGCTGTCTTTCAATCTGCTTCGAATGCTAAGAGCATCCTCTTGACTCGGTGCTCTGGCCACATCAACCCTTTGAGGGTCCTCACTGGCCTGCCTTTGCTTGTTAAGGCATTTATAACATGGACCTGTCAGTGAGTAGTGCTGGGCAGCGGTATATTTAACTGCCACAGCTAAACCTGCTGGTGCTTTTCTGCCAGAGCCCTCTGACATCCTGACTAGTTAAACTAGTAACCCACTATGGTCTTGAACCTGGATTTAGCTTTATCAGATTTCCCAGCTGTTGCAGCCTGTAAGACCTATTTTCCTTTAAAGATTTCCTCTGAGACCTTTCCCCCATGAATAGTTCTGTGAGAAAATCCAAACAGCTACTACCACTTGTGCCTTCAAATTTTGCTGGTGCCGTGATGTCTGCAATACCCAGCTAGATGATAATGAATAGAAAGGTGGAAGACTAATTAATATTTGACTTAACTGGCTTTGCCTTCTCTCTTATTCCACCCTTAATTGAAAAAAAAACCCCACCACCAACAAAAAAAGAAAATAAAAGCAATATCTGTGATTGACAAAGTCAAGCCAATTTTTCACTGCGGGTATTTCAGGCATTTCATTCCTTTTAATGTGCTCTTCATTTCTTTGTGCGTGTAGACCATAGGCCTCTTGCAGCTTTTTTGTGTTCAAAAATATTCTGTCCCAACCAATGCCACAGTGTTATTACCTGTCATTAAGTAACAATAATTAAGGTGGACTTGTGGAACTTATGTAAGTAGTTGTGCTCAGGTAATAGGTAAAAACAAATTTTATTTCATTTGCCATAGATTGTTAAAACCACAATTTACATAAATTCTGTATGTTAGTAAAACAATATTGAAAAAGCATCTGGAATAACTTAATGAATTCTGAGATAATTAGTAGTGTGGCATTTGACCTATGATAATCATTGATATGTAAAACCAAAAGTGTGTACAAATACATTTGTGTTTAATAGAGAACCATTTTACTTCTCAGCTGACTTTTACCTTTTTTTTTGTTAGGTTTGCTTACTGCAAATTGCATAGACTACCCTGAGGGCTTAATCCTTAGATGGGACTTGTGTAAGCAACCAGACTGGTACATCCTCGTGAAAGACTATGCAGGGACAGACAATAAATCTTTGCTACTTCCTATGTTCTAATATACAGTTAGGTTTTGTCATTAGAATCGTAGAATCATTTAGGTTGGAAAAGACCTTCAAGATCATTGAGTCCAACCATCAACCATTCCCACTAAACCATGTCCTGAAGTGCCTTGTCTATGCACTTTCTGAACATCTCCAGGGATGGTGACTCAACCACTTCCCTGGGCAGCCTATTCCAATACCTGGCAACCCTTCCAGTAAAGAAATTTTTCCTAATATCCAACCTAAACCTCCCCTGCCGCAACTTGAGGCCATTTCCTCTCGTCCTATCTCCAGCCTCCTGACAGAAGAGACCAGCACCCACCTCACTACAACCCCCTTTCAGGTAGTTGTAGAGAGCAATAAGGTCTCCCTTCAGCCTCCTCTTCTCCAGACTAAACAGCCCCAGCTCCCTCAGCCGCTCCTCCCAGGACTTGTGCTCCAGGCCCCTCACCAACTTGGTTGCCCTTCTCTGGACACGCTCCAGCAACTCAGTGGCTTTCCTGTAGTGAGGGGCCCAAAACTGAACACAGTACTCGAGGTGCGGCCTCACCAGTGCTGAGTACAGGGGAACAATCACCTCCCTGCTCCTGCTGGCCACGATATTTCTGATATAGGCCAGGATGCCATTGGCCTTCTTGGCCACCTGGGCACACTGCTGGCTCATATTCAGCTGGCTGTCAACCAGCATGCCCAGGTCTTTTTCTGCTGGGAATTAGGGATGATAAGAAGAGGGTCTTAGGGATTTCAGCTGGGAGTATGCATAAGACTGCTGAATTGTTTTCAGAAGTCACAGACATATCACAGGAAAATCATAGAAAAGTGACTTGAAAATTTATCAGCCATTCTTATTCTTTGGCACATACAGTACAAAGTAATTCCTTCCTCTGTGGAAATGCTGTTGCTTTTGTATGTCTCATTTGTCCAACATCCAAAATCTAATCCACAGTGACACTTCCAGAACTTTGTTAATAAATTCAGATTCACAGCACAGATGTTTTTCAAATAGGAAAATGAAATGGTCAGAAGTTAGCAGTCTTCGATTCCAGGGAAAAAATTACTTCTGTGTAATTAGATGTTTCCTAATACTTAGACATGTGTAGTCCATATGTTTGTAGCTGCACCCTACTGCCTTCCTTTGTAAAGTGGAGTCAACAGAACGTAACCAATCAGTGTGGAATGCAAGTCAATAACGATCATGTAGTGCTTAGAAGTTTTAAATAGAAATTTTATGAAAATGCTCTGTATTATTCTACTGTGGCTTATCTTCTACCATGCTAACTTGAAAACCTTACGCTATTGGCAGCATTTGTATTCCACATCTCCTTGACACATTTTCTTTTATTCCTGTAGATGCTTAAAGTGTGCAGATGCCCCCTGTCAGAAGAGTTGCCCAACTAATCTGGACATCAAGTCATTCATCACAAGTATTGCAAACAAGGTAAAATCAGGCTTGCAGTAGTACACGGAAGCAGATAACAGCAGTTACTTGCAGTTCTGTTAGTGAGATTGCATTTCAAGATTTATCTTTGTAAAGTCTTAAAAAAATAGTGTTTACAACAGATGCTTGAAAGCTCAACAGTCAGCTAATTTTTAATTATTTTTGCTGCTGTTCTGTGTCCATACAGATAGTGTATAGTGCAAATCTATTTCTTCATGTCACTTTTTCTCTAAAGGTTTTGGTTTTGATGGTTTTCAAATAGAATGATATTCAAAAAACCGAGCATTACAGTGTAATTATTTAACTTTGCTGCTAACTGAGGTATTACAGTTACAAACCTTTTCTTTCATTAAAGGTTTGTTGTTGTTTTTTTTTTCAAAGAAGTGATTGCAGTTTAATTTGCTTTCGGCAGAAATTTGGCATCAAGGAATGTTTTCTTGTAGTTTGTAATAAGAGGCTCTGGTAATGCAAATATAGTCAGTCACTTAGACTGTTAAAAAATACTACAGGAATAAATTGAACCCCCTCTTTGGAGGTACTGTACCTTTTCCTTTCTTAATAGGCTATTATACTATAATCATAATGAAATCTTAAATACATTATTCTGATTTGTGGTTTACAAATGACTTTTAACAGTCAGAAATAGAAATAAATAAAGATGACTGCAAAGTTGATATGACAAGATTAATTAGGCTGTCTGGGATAGCCTAAAGATGACTGGATATTGATTGCCCCATACCTTTTAAAACTTACTCCCCATCTGTGGAATCATTAGTTGCTGTGTGATTTATTTGTCTGTATGAGCCCAACTAGACTCATAATCTACTGGGTGTGGTACAAAGATTTTCTGGCCGCATTTTATTCTCTAGCATGTCTCACTGTTAGAGGCAGCTGACATGGCCAACAAAGCTGGAAGGAAGTGGGCAACAGCAGCACTGCCCTGTGCGGGTTACAGCCACGTTGCTTTTGCTACACTGTGTGTTGTACAGAGAAGACACCAGTAAATTCTGCACCTTAACAAGAAACATTAGGATAAGAGGACATATTAAGATACATGTATCAATTATAATGTAACTATGTGTTGGTGTGGTTTACAGTAATTGGCATTATGCCCAGCATCTGCATATAAACAGTTTTCTTATATAATCTGTACCCTGTCACTGCAGCATTTATTTTCATGAATGTAGGCATCTGTTTGCAACCATAGTATACTATGCGGCATATTGCTGCTTATTACCTCTTCCAGGCATCGTGAAGCAGGCAAACTGAACAGAGAACGTACAAGGCAGTGATGAAACTGCTAGTCTCCATCTCATCATTGTGCTGTAGTTTGATGTGTTGTTGAGGAAAGGAAAAGGGCCTGATTATCAAAACATAAAAGCTGGGAATAAGGAACCAGGGAAGATAACTGAAGACTGCAACAGAAGATGTCAGAAGGAGAACTAACACCAACAGCATCCTGGAATAATAAATTTGGTGGATCTTTTAGACTTGTGGAAGCATTCCTCTGCAGCAGCTCTAATGCTGTCTTTAAAAACAAACAAAAAACTAGAAAACCGAAACAAAAAAACAAATCCAAAAAACTAGAAGTGAGAAAAACCCACAACCAGATATGCTTAGCAAATAGCTGAAGTCATGGGCTGAGAAAGAAGGCTAAGGAAGTCCTGTGTATTTGTGGCCTCCATGTCAATGGCTGTGCCTCCTGTAATTCATGTACCAAGCAACTTCTCAGGGAAATCAACAGTGCTAGAGGGAACCCAACCTTGACTTCATGGCTGCAGTCTGCTAGGCTGAATTTTCCTTTTGATGAATTAGTTTCTGGTGCCTTTGCTAGAAAATATTTCTGTTGTAACAAATTCTGTTCTTCAGAAAAAGTAACAGTAAATTCTTCTGGTTTCCTTTATTAATAGGTTTTTTTTCTATGTATAGGTATGTACTACTGTTTTTACACTATTGCGCTTTGAAACTCATTGCTTTCTGCTAAGCAAGCAATAAATATGAGGTGGAAGTTGAGAGGGGTACTGAAAGCTGAAATGGTTCACCTGAAGGCATGACCCCAGCAGAGTCTCTGTGAGAGCCCACTACCATGGCTGCTCCTGCAGTGTCCTCTCCCCTCTTTCAGTCTGCTGCTCTGATGGTTGGGGTACCTGCACCATATGCTTTTAGAGCAGATAGAAAACAAGAATGGTGTGCTTTTGAAAACCACATTAAAACTGTAACTTATAGTTTTGAAAATTTTTAATGGAACCAGTAAGTAATTTTTCACTTTGTTATGCATTTTTCTAAACTTCCATTGAAATAATAATTCGGATATCATTCAGCAATCTGTTTGCTGAATATTTTTGTATTATTGTCATAAGAGTATTTACTTCACATGATCAAGGATATTTTACATGTCATTGAAAATACTTTTTAAAATGTAAAATCTTTTTTTCTGTTTTCACCTTGTAAATAAACTTTCTTTTTTAATTGGAAGACTTTTATCTGGTAGCTTCTAGACAAAATAAATAGGTGAAGTGTAGAACATTCAGGTATTTGAGGTCAATAAATCCAGGAATTTGGGGTACGCTTTCTAGGCTTATTGAAGTCCCTGTCCTGCTTCTGAATCTTTCTTCATCACTCACTTGAGAAAATCCCTTCAGCAGGTTGCCCTTCTGCTTGTTTAGAGGAGATTCAGTTCAATAAATTCCTTGTCTTCATCCCTGTGTAAGCAGTAAGCAGTATTGCATGCAGGTATTTATTTAAACATGATTCATTATTAATATGGAGTATTTAGACAGCAGCATACTGAAAATGAATTACTTTGTCAGGTATTTAAGAGCTCTATTGTATGTAGTTTGTTTTGTTGGAAAACTGCTATAGCAATCATAAAAGGTCAGGGATTCTTGTTCTCTTAAGCCTGAGGCTTTTTAGATATTTACAGGCCATGTACAATGTAGCTGCTCTGGCTGTTCTGCCATTAGACCTGAGCTCAGGAGTAGAAGAAGGACAGGGGAGGAGGGGTTGCTTGTGAGTTCAGAGGGTAATTGAATTGCCAGACTCAATGAGCCTTGAGCCTCTTTGAGAAAAAGGATGTCACTTATGCTGTATTGTGTTAGCTGCTGTGACTCAGTTGAGTTTAGGCCACAACTTCCATTCTCTTTTTCCATACAAACTGGATTACAACTCCACTTTATAAAGGTACAATCTATTCTATTGTGTCTTCTCAGTCACTGTTTCTTGGTTCATACAGACTGCTTGCAACTGTGTCTCTCAGAGGCCAGACTTCAAATTCACCATGCACACATCAGTACTTTTGTTTCTAAACATCAGAAGATGGCAAACAAGTATTCTGACTTCCAGCTGTCCTCTCTTTAAATAGAGTCTTCAACATTGCAAAGTGTATATTCTTTGTTTTATAATGCACAAGTGCCATCTTAGTTATTTCTTTCTTTAAAAAGAAAAAACACTGAAAGAAAAGTGTTCATCTGCTGCAGAAGAAAGCTTTGCCTCCCTATCCCTGAATGAGTACTAGGAGTGATGTTAGAATTTTACGTCCTCCTTTCCCTGTGTTGCTACGTCAAAGCAAGGAGTTGGTAAAATGGAACTCCAGCACCCATCATCCTTTAGGGCTGGCACAAGTATATACTGTACAGCAGCAGAAAATCCTACAGCTTCCCAGAAGCAACCATCAGCCTGAACACTTGCAGCCTGTCCAGCTTTTCTCCTGTTATGCAGAAGTGTGTGCCAGAGGAAGCTGCCCGATAGAAAGCAACAGCTGCTCACATACTCTACCTTTGTACTGTCCAGTGAGATGGTCTTGGGGCTTTTTGTCATCAGACAACTTTATGGTTGAGTAGTTGCATTGAAAAACAACTGTTGGTGCAGTTTAGGCATGGGGATATTGTTGTGTTACATGGCATAGGTGTAAGGAGTGACTCAGCCTTTATAGTCTGAGACTATAATGAAGAATTGGGGGTGCAGAAGTATCTTTTGTGTTACCAGTACTCAAAAATCACACTTTGTCGCTGCAGCCCTCTGTTACTAGCTCTCACATTTTTATCTCAAGTCTTGCAGTATTACAATGATTCCTGACATTGATTCAACAGCTTTCTCCTTGTTCAGAAAGACCATCTTCTCCCATATCCCTTAGTAACAAACTGGTCTGTGCTGACATGTCAGCTGTTTTTTAACAGACTTTATAGGTGGATGTAAGCCTTCTGGTGGCCAACATTAAAACAAAACAAAAAGACAGAAAACCAAAAAAACCAAAACCCCTAAACCCAACAAAGCTGTGCTTCCTTCTGGATAAAAGGTTGTCCCTGGACTGTGCAGAATACTGGTAGGGAAATGGGGGAGCGAGAAATGAATGCCAGGAACAGTACAGAGAAAGTTGCGGAACACGAGAGTAAGTTTTAGGATTTCAGAGGAATGTTTAGGTTTAAATGAAAACCAAAGGAAATGTGTGGGGTTTTATCAAGGGAGAAATGGGAGAGGGAACAAACTGGAATACAGAGATGGATACCAAGGTATAAGGGTGAATCTGAAGTTTGGGAGTTTGAGGGAGTAAAGGAAAAAGTGTTTGTGGTAGTATACTGGAAGTGAGAAAGAAAAGTGGGTAGACAAAGGAAGGCAAGAGGCAGAAAGCTGTGGGATCATTAAGAGAAAATGAAATGAATAAAAGATTGTAAGGGAGAAAGGGTGGTGAGAGACATAGGATTATGACAGGTGAGAGAAACAGAATGATGTTTTTTCTGTGCCAGAGGAACTCTGAGTAAATTAACAAAGGACATCTATATGCCATTGCAAAGACTCCAGAAAATCATGAGTCACAGTTCATATGTAAAATACTGTAAGTGGGATACTGTTAATACAATGAAGGATTGTGGAAGTCAGAAAGCTGCTAGATGATTGGTAATAATTATATATAGATATGCATCACAATTAATCTTTAAGTACTCCTTTGAGGCCCCAGGTTTTTGAAAGTGCTGTTTTATTCAGCTTTCTGTGTTAATCTTTGT